GCACTTCCACCAGCTCCCTCAGTACCCTTGGGTGGATCGCATCCAGCCCCATAGACTTGTGTGTGTCTAAGTGGTATAGTAGGTCAGTAACCATTTCCCCTTAGATTATAAAGGCTTTATTCTGCTCCCTGTCCCTGTCTGCCAGCTCAGGGGAATATGTACCATTCTTAAAAGTTGAAAATAAAGTTGAAAAAATTGAGAGAGCATTGTATTGAAATTCAGCCAAGGCAGGGTGAGACCAGTTTAAATGTAGCAGATTTTAATGAGAAAATATGTATACTATTGCTTGAGTGTTTTGCAAAAGATTCACTTACCATACAAGCCCATTTTCATGGACAACTTCTCCAAATGGTACGGGCGATCCTCTGTAGTAGCAGGGACACTCATTAGCAGGCACACATTTGCCACTGTCATCCATGTAGGTTCCATTTATGCAGGTGCAGCCATCAACTGGCACAAACTTAATGTTGCATGTGACATCAGGCTCACTCAGAGACCGACAAGTAGGTTGGCAGGAAGAGATGGTATAGCTGTAGCTTAGGGATTTGGGACATGAGGTGGTGTATTTTGCTTGAGAGAGGAAAATAGAATAGGTTTGTTAATCCCAGATGGGAATTTCTGGTGGGAAAAAAGAAATCATAAGCAGCAGAAATAACATGTAAACAATACTGTACACTTCTGCCTGTGTTGCATCTTTCACGTAAATGTATTTCTGAATACTTCCAGAGTTAGACCTGAAAAGCTACTGTAAATGTGGAATAAGTGAAGTATGCGAAGAAGGAAATATTTTTTCAGACGAAATTTCATAGAGAAACCTCAATTTGGCACTGCCATTCATTGCCAAGACTTCTAAACCTTTTGAAGTAAGAGACAAGATGTCTCCCTGGATGTCTCCTGGTATGCTGAAAATAGATCTACTCGATCAGTGGAGCCCAGCATGCAGATTCAGAGACCTTTCATTTGCAAGTGTTCTGGTTAGTATTACTAGTACTGTTATTCTAATATATTACATTTTCTGTACAATAACTTGTGATACATAAAGCTGTAGTGAAACTCAAAGTTGCACAGAAACAGGTAGAGGCACTTCTGTAACAGCAGTCTCTTTCCTAAGCAAGCTACGTCTCCCATCTATTTGCATTCACCCTTGCTAACAATGGATTGATTCTAAGGGAACAGCAGAGAATTACTTCCAGTAGTGCACTTAACAAAATCCCTTCCTCAACACTTACTATATTTGTCTAGAAAACAGTAAAAAATAATCTCTGATCAGCAGTTTTTATTGATGTGTATTCTTAGGGAAGGGGATAGTTAAGAATACTTACAGCAGACATCAGTCCTCCATCCATGCAGCTGGATTCCTTTTGCAGCACAAGCTCTCACATAGGAAGATAAGGCTGCACACAGACAGTCCTCACTATTTTCACAGTTACACGTGTCAAACATGCAGTTCTAAGAATGCAGAGAAAAATAAATTTTCAGCACTGGCACTATTGTCTATCTAAAAAAATGAATGTTATCTTTCTGGTTTCATGCACAAATCCTTCTTCAGATATGCTCACTCATAGACAACACTGACATAGCTTTATCACTTCCCAGTCTTTGTCTAAGTTTCCTGGCAGGGGAGAATGAAGGTAATGGAAATTCAGTCGATGTCTACAGTTATTATTGGGAAATAGTGGCCTTAAAGTCTGTTATACATTTAACAGCTTCCTGTTCCTCTGAACCTTATTTACAAATATGCTGCACAATAGCATACAAAGCTCTATTCACAGCATGCAGTCTAGACACGTCATTTCACCAGTGTCTGTACCTGGATGATTCATAGTGAGAAGAAAGATTGGCCACACATTGATAGCAGAATGATGATAATTAGCTAATGAGCTTTCTATGTCAAGTAGTTATTAATGAGATACAAGTCTGATGAGACAACAGTTCACTGATATTCAAACAAGCATCTGACATGTCTTTACATACACTTTCTACTATATGTGTATATCCATCCAGGAGTAAATAGTTGCCTTTTCATTTGCAAGCAAGTCAGGATCTTGAAGCCAAGACTGACAATTGAAATAAGGTAATGTTACAACACAAACAGAAATACGTGTTGAAAGGAGGAAGTGCTGCAGTACAGAAATGAAAATACAGGCATTGTGTAAGACAAGAGACGTGTCTGGAACAGTCCTTTTCTGGTAGATAGTTGTAATGATCCTATTTCTATTGTTTAAAGAGGGAAAAACAAAGTACCGTGTGGTAAACAGAGGGATTCACTGCATAGTGACAATCAGCAAAAGGTCCTTCGCTGTCAGTTAGTAGTCCACACCAATGCTGAGCATATTTTTCTGTGAAGAGAACAATCAATACAAATGCACATTACTCTTCATATTTCATTAATCACAAAAACACACTGTCTTGGTCTATGAAGCCAGTTCTGAAATTACATCAAATCTCTCCTTCTCCTGTCTTTTTTTTTTCACTCAGCTTGTGGGCTAAGGTTCCTAAAACCAAAGAAGAGGACTTGCTGAAGAGGATGAATAAAAGATTTCCAAAGATACCCCTGCAATTCACTCCTCTGACACCAAGTTATCAGCTTAGACACCCTCTCTGTTTTCAGTGGCCATACAGTTTCCTTCAGTTGTGTTTCTCTGACTCTTACTTATCCCTAGTGCTTTCATTTTGAATATTTGTTTCAGATTTCAGATGTATGTTTTTACCAAGTATAAAAGTCTTTATTCTCTTATCTTTGTATCCCAATGGATGTTTTCCTTAGGGATGAGCAAAAAAAACCCAGAAAAAATTTTAAGAGGCACGCACCATTATCAATGCTGAGTGTACAAGGGTTCTCAAAACTGCGCTGGATATTAGGGCACGAAGCCTGAGTTCTCCACGTATTAGCAAATGCTGTTGCTGTTCCTTCAATTATTCCACTTATGGCCTTGAAGTCATCAGTCTGGATATTATTGAAATTTCCACAGAGACCTGTTGAAAAGCAGTGAAAAGTTTATACTGCTCATACTAAACAAAAGACTTTAAGAAAGATGTTCCTATATTTCATTCACTTACCACAGGTCTGGTCTTTGAAAATAGGATCCAGTCGCACAAACACTTGCATGATGGGTGTGATTTGGATTTCAAGGTGGACGCCAAAGTTTGTCTGCATGATGATGAAGAATGATGAAGGTCTGAACACAGTGACATTACCTACAGATGAAAACCAGAATGATTACTTTCTGAATTAGGTTGAATGTTGGAAACAGTGCATCATTGTACTATTCTTCTTGAATTTCTGTTGCAATTGTTGCAAATTCTGAGGTGAAATAAAGCCAATCTTTATGAAAATGAATCAGAAACATAAATCCAAATTTACAGTTCAGACTTTGCTTGTAGCTACCAAGTTGTTAACTTTATTTGCTCTCTCAACATGAAGCAGTTGAAGATTACTCCTTCCAAGAGAATAAGAAGGAAAAACTGTGTGACACTGAGTGTTAAAAAGAATACTTCTATTTTTGTTTCTAAGCTTGTACAGCACACATTGGAGCCCTCACTCTGCTGGAGAGGGAAACTAAGAAACTGGAGGTCAGAGATATCACATACAATCATTAGTTATCGAGACAGAGCAAAAATCAAATTTCTGTCTGAGGAAGTGTAAGCACAGGGGAGGTAAGTTAAAAAAAAAGAAAGAGGTAGACAGATGTCTTCTGTGTTCAGTTTCGCACAGTGAGAAGGAAGTAAACCTTACAGTGATCAAATCAGGAGTGTGTAAATGTTGTTTGCTCCTGTTTGAACTCTTGCTTATGCTTTTACTGTCTCCCATGACACCAAACTTCCTACTTCTACTACAGAAGCAATTGTGTGACTCAGGAAATATTCCAAAGAGAACCAAGGTGTGAACATGCAGGTTCTGAACAACTCACGGTCTTTTTATCTTCCATAGTTTAAGAAAATAAGCAGGTGTGGTGTTGAAGTTCTAAGCTTATTGCTCACGGACTGTTAGAGAAAAAAATACCTGCTGAGATTGGCAGCTGGGTGTAGACTGAGTTCACAAACACACCGCCATCAGGTTTCACCTCGATGAGCTGATATGGAAGAGGAAGAAGAGGCAACTGTGTGAAGGATAACTGTAGTCCAAAGGGTAATAATGGTGATGACTCCAGTGATATTAATTAAAATGATATTAAATAAAAAAGGGTAGCTTTTTGTGATTTTACCTCCTCTCTCTTTCCACTTTGTACACTTTACTAATTTTCCCTGCCATAAAAGAGTTATTTTTAAAGAGACTTTCTCAGCTCCTTAGGGAATTACATCATCTTGGTTTCTTTGAACACATCTTTGTGATGAATTAGATCCTTCAGTGTTGTACTTGTAGTTTCTAACCTAAAAGCTCATGTTTTTTCATCTAATTGGCAGAGAAAATACTTTTATCTGCTTTGTGAGTACAATGCTTTTCTTAATGAAATTCCACAAAGCCAAATTTACAGCTGATCTGATTTTCATAACAAAATCAATTTCTTTTCACTTGATTAAAAATAACATGTACTTATCGCATATGTTGACCATTTGAGAGAGAAATGCAGTTCCCTGACTAAGGCCTAGCTTCTTTGCTCCCCATATTTTTAATAGTCATTTCCCATGCTTACTTTGCATTCTTACATTTTGTCCTTTATTCATGTTGAGGGTCACTGTCTTTAAGCATGTCTCAGTGTCTGTTAGGCCACATTTGCGTAGTTCTACCAGGATGGTGAATGTTTCATCTTTACAGTGCTGAAAAAAAGTGCCAAGAGTTATTTCACAAAAGGCTATTTACAGAAACTTTCCCTGAAAAATTTTCTCTCAACTCTGAAAAAATATTTCTGTTTCTGGAGAAGATCCAGACTCTCCCAAATCCCAGGCCTTCTTTGGCCTAAGATTCAGTTTTGCCTTTTGTAATGATGCAATGAGAGAATTAGAATCTGTTTTTGCATTTTATTGATGATATCCATATTTGGAGTTTTTATTCATGCCCACTTCTAATGTTTGATTCAATTCTACAGTATCTCTCATCTTTCTGTAGCTGGTATCAATGCTAGACAAAAATTTCTAGATAAAACATTTTTCAGGAGAACAGTAACATACAGCATCTTTTTTCACTGAATTGTGCAGATGGTGAAAAAAGAAAGCAAAGAACAAACAGGAAAAGCCCCTAAAAGATCAAAACATTTCACTTGCACATTGCTGTAATTAAATATTTTTATTATAATTAACTGTTAATTTTTCTATTTCTTTTGACTTATCTTTAAATCTGTTTAAAAATGTTCAAAACCTAAATGAAATATATCAGTTGACTTGAACTGATTTTCTGTATTTGAACTTCCCAGAAATTAAATAAAAATTACTCTTATAAATTCTTTTTTTTTTTCAGTACTGTTAGTGTAATTTTGCAGACTTGTACCATTATATACAATATAATACAGTAACATGGCAAAACTTATGCAATTAGTAAGAAAGCTGCATTAATCACACTGAAAAATGTAGACTAAGCAAGTTCTTAGAAAAGGCAATGCTCTCCAGCAATTACATCACAGAACTGGAAATTCCCTAGTGAACAACATATACTGTTGCATGACATCCTAATAGTTAACTGATGATTGTCATTTGAATGGCAGCATACATTCTAGTAAACATCTGGCTAAGAGAGAGGCAATGTAATGCCTGTATGTGAAAAGAGGTAAGTTTCAAAAGTGTTGATTGAGATAACATTTTCTTTCTATAAATGCATAGGGCTTTATGACCTAGTAATATCTGATTCCCACCTTAGAAAGGACATAAGTGCAGTCTCCATGGTGATCATAGTGTTTTTTATCATATGTGGAAATGTGTGAGCCTCCCTCTAATGAACATGTTCCTGGGCATGACAGGTCTTGGCAACTCCACTGGCCTCCATTACAGGTACTGGAAGAGAGAGAATGAAGTTAGCGAAATCAGGAACAGTGGTCCTAAGTAAAAGGAATTACAGTGACATTAGGTTCAGCTGTTCTGCTACTGTTTTTCCCTTCAAGCTGTAGTTTGACACACAGTAAATCTAGGTTTAAGACTTTCCAAAACATTGTGAACATGTGTAAAAGGAATGATTCTGGCATGCATTCACTTTGCTTATTTGTTTTCCTTCTTTGAACAAATGAACTCTCCAGCAACAGGTACTGGATGAGTAATTACTTGTTTTTTGCAGCTAACGTAAAGCACAATGACAAATTAAAATCCCTTCTGTTTTGTTGCACAATTGTATCAGAAACTAACAGAAATGTAACCCCATGTCTACTCCTGATGCAGAGCATATCTGTTTTCTAAGATGATGTGGTAGTGCACAGATACAGGATTAATGATTGTGAAATCATGTTTGCATTGTGTCATCCCTTGCTTTCTCCAGAGAAAATAAATATTTGCAAATACATAAATGACTGCAACTTCATTCCCCTTAGAGAAGTCCAAAGGTTTGAACAAAAAACCCAATGAGGAATCATTTTAATTGACTGGTGAGAAATCTAAACATTGTAAATCCTTGCTTTGATCACCTTGAGCTAGTTAAGGCTGTTGCTAAATAAAACAAAGAATGTTCTTTAGGGATATTTTGGAACTGCAGTGGTAAGTTAAATACACATATCAATTACCAGTGATGCAATTGCATATAAAAAAACATTAAATTCATTAAATATAAAACAGTAATTTAGAAAAGTAGCAAGGTTACCAGGAATGGCACTGCTCTGTAAAAGAAGTTCCTGTAGCGTAGGTGTTGCCATTGTAAACACAGGAGCACTGCTGATGGGGAATGCAGCCAGAATTGTTGATGTCATCAAATACAGACCCTAGATGAAAAAAAAAAGACAAAACCTTGATCAATTAGAGAGGTATTTCCTATACGCCATTTTTGTTTGTTACAAATCCTAAATATTGTCTTAGAGACAGATCTGCAGCTGTCATGAATGGACATACCTATGCTGAGGACAGTAGGACTATGCCAATTTGCACAGTGAAGGATCAACCTTTGTATTCTTAGATTGCACCTGCTTTGAAAGAGGTACTTATTGTAGCACAGGTGGCTTGTTGGGAGACTGGTCTTGATCTGTTTGCTGTTCTGCCTTCCTGCATTCTGAATATTGCACAGGTATTGGCAACTAATTCAGATATTTTTTCTCAGCTGTGACTTGCAGCTGTGAAAAATGCAAATACAGGAGGCTTAAACCCCATGGAACCTGCCCAAATCCTGCAGGTAAGCTGCTGGTGTTCTTCAAGATCAGAGATGTGAGTACATAAGAACTTGCCTGGGGGGCAGAAACAACCATCCATACAGTGCTCTTCACAGAACTGAGATCGTTCAGGATTGGTGCACGTGTCAGCACAGGGGGAGCTGCACTCCTGGTACTGCATGTTGTAAGGACACTTCTTGGCTGAAATTTTAGAGGAGATATTTTTTTTCTGTCAAAAGTATTTCTAGTTCACTGTATATGCAAATATTCATATTCATTTAAGTTTTTCAGCTAGATGTAAAACCACACTAAACTGCAGATCCACTGCCAGCTCTCAAAATTTGCAAATTTAGACACCTAGATCCATATTTTACAGTTGAGATATGCTTTCCATGACTGTCTGGTGCTGAACTGGCTCAATAACTGGATTTCTGGGGACAGCAAGGTACTGACCCCACAAAGTCAGCAAGGCCTGTGTTTTTACTGAAGGCACTCTTCTCATGAACACTTGTTTTGCTAGTGAAATATAAGACACAAGTTCCTAAAGCTTTAGCATATTTGCATTTTTCTGATACCATTGGAAAGGCAAATAGTACCTCATGGGGGTGTTTTTTGGAGCAAATGTTGGTGACAGTATCAAGAGCTACACCCCATAATCTAGGATGTGTATAATGCAGTGCAAATCCCTATGAAGATTACAGTGGTGCAAACTCCTCACTGCCAAGCAAGAGGAGATAAATAAGTGCTTAACCAGCCAAACACCTGTGAAGACCCAATAAGTTAATAACTGGGAGTAAAAAACACCGTAGCCACCATGAGATAGGAGAGAAACAGGAATACAAGCAAGCAGGTATGCCTCATTCTTTCTCCTTCTTTCTCCTTTATTTGTTTCCTTTACAGTCCCAGTTAGTCAAATAACATTTTAACTCTCAGTTAGAGTAGCCATGTGAGTGTTTAATCCAGTTTGCATTAAAACCCCTAGATCTTTTGCTGAAGTCTTCATGCTGGAACTTGTACATCAGAACCCTCTGGAGAATACAATCTTGAATGACCTGTAATTTCTCATGCATCCTCAGCATCATTTGAGAGCTTGTTGTTTGTTTGTTACTGAGCATAAAGTAAGGCTATCTCCAGTGATACTTACGGCACAGTTTTGAGGTTCTCCAGTTCAGAGGATGCCCACCAGCATGAGCACACTGCCGGGAGTATTCAGCAAAGGTGTCACAGATACATGAGGCATTTTTAGACTCTTCAGAGCGGCACAAGTCATCTTGGCAAGCCATAACGTACTCTCTAACATCAACTAGGTCATTACACTCTGCAAATGCAGAGCTGGTCAATGTTTTCTGGCATATGTCATCCTTGGGAGAAAAAAAATTAAACAACTTCCAAAAAAAAGAAAGGAGCAATTTTTTGGTATTGTTACTTTGTATAATTATTCTTTGATAGAATCTTATAACCCTCTTTAAGTTGCTGTTGCCTGAGTGCTTTTCCTGTTGACTCACCTGAAGCTGTAGAAGGGTACAGATAAATCTGAAAGAAAAATAAAAGTATAGTCAAAAGATCCTTACCAAATTATCAGTGCAATTATCTGGCAGGGTAGAAGTGGAGTCTTCACAGTGTTCTGTTGGCCCATCCATTTTCTGCATATTCCCAAACTGCAAGGCTGTCATCTTAATATCTGTACAAAAGAAATTTAAAGGCTGGGTTTTTTTGTTCAATGCAACTGCCTGTTATCTTTTTCTCTCAAGAATTCTGCTCAAGACTGGCCAAGGCAGCTAGTTCCCTTAAGTCTTTAGATTTGATCATCATCCCTTCCAAAGGAAGCACTACCTCACTGTCTCAATTTAGCTTGCACAGCACCCTGGAAAAAGTAAACATTAGAAAACAGTTCTCAGTCTATTACATCTAGATGCAAACTAAGATTTTTACCAGAAAAATAACAAACTGTTTTCAGATTATATTGAGCCCATCCAGGGAAGAGAGAAAAGAATCTAAACAGGGATTTGGACAATGGAGACTGCTGTGAGACAAGGTTTAGGAAAAAGCTCAAGCTGGGAATAGATAGAATGATGAGGTAAGATCTTGTTAAGATTATGCAATTCAGCAGGCAAATGTGGATATACCAATCTTAAGACAGGTAAAACAATAAATGTACTGACTAGACAATACAATTACCTTTTGTTTTATTGAATATATTTCTATATTTATTTATGTTATTAGTTAAAATCTGGCTCATTTTTATGGGGTTAGCTGATTAGGTAAATAAAACCATGGCATACAAGAAATACGCAATCAGTTTTTAGCACCAGTACTACATTGATACTTAAAGTATTAAATCACATTATCTGATCTCTGTACTACAAGTTTTTCAACAGAGATTGAATCATATCTTCTGGGTAAACCATTTAACAGAATAGGAAAAAAGAATGCTGATGATGTTAGAGTTAACATGTTGGAGACTCCAGAAACCAATTTTTATTATTTTAAAAACTTACTGTTTGAATAGAACTCATTGTAAATTGGATAGCCATTGAAGTCCCCGCAAAGTCCACACGTCTGGTTGGCATATTTCTCATTCAATTCCAGCTAAAATGATGGACAGTAAGTTGATGGAAGATAGCATAAACATTCTAAAATATATTCAAGACTACTGAAAGCACCTGCACCTGCTGCGTCTATGTATTTTTCATCAGATCTGTGTGATTTTATTTAGCAATTTAATTCAAACCTGGTGGCTAGAATGAAGAGTTGGCTTGGATTTGATTTAAAATGCAGAGGCCAAACTATTGATGCTACTGATGCAGACTTAAGTTTTCACTGTAATATCTATATTGCTCTCAGCCTTTTTCTCTCTATTCATTTTTCAGAAAGAAAATCAAATCCACAGCAAAAATGAAGTCCTAAGAGTGAAATTCTGCTAGAAAATTATATTGAAGTGGTAAGTTGGCCCTATAAAAATGCCAATATGGTAATGATATAATGAAAGCAATTTTTTCACCCTATTTTAAGAAGACGTCTGCTATCCACTAGAAGCAAATCCATGTAATTTTCTTTAGGGCTACCTGGATGCAAAACTATCTTTATTAAGAAAGAATTGCTCAACAGTATGAGATGGGAAGGCAATAGTAACCCCCTAAACAGATAGGGACTGGCCTAATCAAAGTTTAGTTCAGGTCTCTAAAGGTGTAGACAGGTCCAGGACCAGTTCTTACCATGATACTGTCATCTTCATTCCACATTAACACAATACCCACTTTGCTGGCAACTTTCACATAAATGCTGCTTTTTTCTATTGTAATTCCAGATTGGCTGTAAGGTAGTTGAACTCTGGGAAAAGGCAGAAAGAGTGCTAGGTATTTTCTGATCCAGATGTTTGATAAAGAGAAAAAAAATGGCTTGTGGTATCCAGCATCTGTAGGGATTCTAAAATAATATAGTTGTGTAGAAAGAAAAGCAATTAAAAAAATAAGATGGTCCAGTGTCATTAAATATGGATCTGAATTTGGATCCAACCTCTCAGGATTTTTCATCCAAATTTTATTTTTGAGGTAACATTTAAAGGAAGGATGGATTTACTGTGAAAGGAATCAATAACAACTTATTCATTATTTATGTTGGTAAAATTGTCAGATATATTGAAGAACACATAATTTTTCCCCCCAAATAGACAAAGCACTTGGCAAGTTAGAAAAAAAGGTCTGTGGTTACCAAACAAATGTTGTGAATAAACTTACCTGTTGCTGTTGATCATGACAACATCCTTTGTTAGTTCAGCAGCTATACCTTCAAGTTTCATGGTGATACGGTTGATTGTTGGGGCATTTTCCACCACTATGCGCCTAATCTGGATGTTGAAATCCTCATAGGGAGCGTTGCAATGGGATGCAAAAACATAATTACAGAGCCCAGGGAAGGAGAATATGTCTCCATCAAAGGTCTTGAAGTGGAAGTTGCCCCATGTGCTGCACACGTGGCCATTGTGAGCAGGATTGGAAGCTGTGAATTAAAACTAGCTGTAAAAAAATGACTTAAAATTCCCAGCCTTAACATGGTGCAAATCAACTTGTCCAAGGCTTCATTTTGTCATTGAATAGTTTCCACCTGCCTACCTTAATTTGTTATTTTCTGTCTATCTATCCATTATAAAGCACATTCATTCTTCACTCATATCTGTTACTCATATGCCCCTATAAATGGTTATAGTTGTGTTCAGCTAGAGCTTTATTAATTGTCCACATTTCAGCTAAGATAACAGTTCAATATTATGTTTTTTACTCACCCTCTTTCTCCTCTTAATAATCAATAACTTCCTTTACCAGTGCTTATCCCTATTTGTATTAGATTGCTCTGTCTACATCCTCTAAAATTCTAAACTGTCCTGGTTTTGGCTGGGGTAGAGTTAATTTTCTCCTTAGTAGCTGGCATAGTGCTGTGTTTTGGATTTAGTAGGAGAAGAATGTTGATAACACACTGATGTTTCAGTTGTTGTTAAGTAGCGCTTACACCAGTCAAGGGTTTTTCAGCTTCCCATGCTCTGCCTGGTGCACAAGAAACTGGGAGGGGGCACAGCCAGAATAGTTGATCCAAACTGACCAAAGGGCTATTCCACACCATATGACATCATGCTCAGTATATAAACTAGGGGGAGTTGGCTGGGGGGCAGTGATCGCTGCTCAGGGACTGGCTGGGCATCAGTCAGCATGTGATGAGGGGTTGCACCACTTGTTTTTTTTTTTTTTCTTGGGTTTTGTTTCTCTCTCTCGTTGTTGTCCTTTTCATAACAATTTTTATTAGTATTATTATTATTTTATTTCAATTATTTTGCATGAGTTTTCCTACTTTTACCTTTCCAATTCTTTCCTCCATCCCATTGCAGGGGGAGGGTGAGTGAGTGGCTGTGTGCTGCTTGGTTGCCGACAGGGGCTAAACCATGACACAAACTTATTGAATACATTTTGTTTCCTTAACTTACATGTTATTACTGGATTTGTCAGCATTGTCTGGATGATGTTCACCTTAGATGAAACTGTGGCAGAAGCTAGAAAAAAGTAAGAACGAAAACAAAAACTAGTATAACAATACCAAAATTTGCACCTAAAATTGACCTAGAAAGGACTAGAAAGTTAATATGCCAGATCCAATGAAACAATGTTAAGCCTGTTTTGTTTTACACAGGCCATGGATCAGGTTAAAAGCATGTACTAAAATTCAAAATCAGGATAGTTAAATCATAAGAAATTCCTTTCAATATTTATGATCTGCATTTTCTACTTTTTAATTTTGACCCTTTTATGAAACTCTGTATTGGGTTGTGAAAAGCAGAAATTTACAGCTCTCTATATTGGAGTCCTTCAGACACACTGAACAATACAAAGTGTTAACCTGTGCCAAAATAGCCTGTTACAGGTACAAAAGCATAGCTGCCTTCTCATTACACCTCCTCTTTCTAAGGAAAGAGTAAAAACTTTAATTATCCCCCTTGCTCTCTGTTTAATATTTTTCTCTTAGGAGGCTGAACACCCTTAGAAATGACCACAAATCTGTTGTACAGGATGATCACAAATCATTACATGGTAAAAATCAATCAGGTTGGGTTGCCATCTTGATTTCACAACATCGGCCACTCACTTGCCAAAGTGGTCTCATTTCCTTGTTTTCAAGGAACCAAACAACCTGCACATATATTCCACTTTGATTTTATATATACATATTCATGCACTTATGCATACAGCCTCTACAAACACACGTCTGTTTTCTTAGTTACCTATTATTATGCAAATATAACCATACTGTGTGTGTTTAGTAATTGGTATTCTTGTATGGAGGGAGGCTTGTTAATACATATTTGTCTTTGTTTCACACTATCAGCGATATGCTAAGGAGAGTTTTTAGGCATTTTTATTATTTAGTAGAGATGCAGCAAATAAATACAAATACAAAATACACAGTATAAATGAACATACTGAACATACTGTTTTGTTTCTGCTGAGCAACCTCAGTGTATTTGCTTCCTATTTCCTGCTGGATTTCAGTCTGGGCTCCTGTGAAGAAATTGTAAAAAGCATATTAAGTACAATGTCCTATATCTGAACTTTTAAAGCAAAGTATTTAGATAGGATCAAAGGACCCAGATACATCTCTGTAAGACAAAGGGGAGAGTCCTTTATCACATCAGAAAAAAAGAAACAGGCCCCCCAAAAAAGTAAAATGTAATTATAGAAGGAGACTTTTAATGACAAATACAGAATATGAAATCCAAATAAGAGTTCATTTATATCTGCTTTCTTTGTTTCCCTTAAAACTCACTACAGGGGATTCTAATGACTGGATCACAGCCCTTATTTCACTGCTGCACTAAATCTCTCTAATATGTGAAACAATTACAGGAAGAATTCACAAAAATGTAACAGAGTCATTTATTAAAATTGCTGTGTAGTAGCTAGGCAATAATAAGAAAAGGCACAGAACTGGATAAATGAAACAAGAGGCTTAGGGCTTGATCCAGTAATGGCTGCAGATACTTATATATCAGTTTCTTTAGTGCCTAAGCATAGGGCCTTTTCTTCTGGAGCAAATCTAAAGCCTAATCAGGGATCTAGATTTGCTTTACAGCTGGATGCAAGAAGGTACCTCTGAGTGATAATACTAGGGCCCGTAGCCTGAGCAGTAACCCAGGAGAAGTAACCAAAAGAACCAGGTTTCCTGTTCTACCCCTCTTCTCACTCTGAGATGGTTCAAACTCACATCTTCTCTGCAGAAAACCTTAAGCATCATACTATAAGTCTATTTGACCAAGGGTTCTTGCTACCCCACCTGAAGCTGAGACACGGTGCTGAAAACAGTGGGACAGTGACAGAGGAGGAAAAAATAGGCCATGGTCATGTGACCACATGATTAGGGCACTCAGCTACGTCGCAACTGTCCTATTTTTGTGCCTTGCTTCAAGGATTATTTTTGTACCTCCATTTAAATGATTACTGGATCAACTGAATGAACTGTCTTCCAGATGAGTTCTCCTTCTCTCTATCATGACTCCATAAGTTTTTAATTCCTTTCCATGCATGGCCCAGCAATACCATATGAGAGGAGGTATTGGCAAAGACTTTTGAGAGATGAAAAATATCCACCTGAATAATTTCATGCCTGGAAAAAGACAGACCTTGAGCTCCTAGGTTGGTGCTCTAAGCACTTGTCTTTTACAAGTAAATATGGCAGGCATTTTCTGTAAAAGAAAAATGGCTACAACTTTATTTCGTGAAGGACTGAATCCTGTCAGCATGTGATAACCATGCTTGGAACATGTTGACTAATGTGTACCTATAACCTGCCAAGTCTAAATCCTCAAAGGATTTATGTGATTAAATGACTAATCTCTGAATCTAGATCAGGATTATGTGAATGAGCACTCTAGGTATTCAGAGAATTTCTCAGTCAAAGAGGAACTGTCTATGTAATTTAGTCTTAAGTTAAGCCCCCTTTTTTTTTATACAATAGGTGGGAAGAGTTCACTGACTCAGAACTGGATCCATAACACCCATCTCACTGAACAGGGAGCCACACTGGTGGAAAAGAGGGAAATGCTGAAGTTGGGGGTGTGCCATAAACCCCAGTCCCCTTTGGTGCTTACATTCCTTGCTGAGCATTTCCTCCACTTAATAACCTCAGCCCAGATACCTCCATGAAAGCTGGACAACTACCTTTGCCTTAAAAATAACTGGATCAGGAGCACCTTTTTTAAAAAAAAATGTTTCAAATGTAACTTCTGGCTGTGCCCACCATGTAAGCAGATTGAGTACTTGATCCCAGAGCTGAAAGATGCCTGTCTGAAGGTATTCAAGCACCCACTCCCAAAGAGGTCCCCAAGAGACTGCTGGCTTTGGAGGAGAGGGTTCTGGGCAGCCTCACCATATCTAGAAGTTGCTGCAGTGTCTGCAGTTTCTTTCAGACCTAAGCTTTTAATTCTTTTCTCATTTAACTTTATGCGTGACCACCAGTGATGTACAAAGAAGTAACATTTCCTGTTAGTCTTTCAGTATCACAGATTATATCATTAGGTAAATGCATTCATATGATTATAACCGATACCGATCAGGTGAGACAAATACCTCTGTAAGTCTTAATAATAGGCCAGAATTCGCTCTCACTCAACACATCTAGAATCTCAGCAGGCATAGAATCATAGAACATTTGTTTACTCTAGCATGAGAACCTTTGTAACAGAGCAAAGTAGTATATACATGTACTTTGGTCTGTTAATTTTTCTCAAGGAAACAGCAGGGGCTTTTGTGTACTTAGCAAATACGTCATTCCCAAGGAAATTCTAGCTGCATTGGTTTATTTAGCAATTGCATAATGCCATGTTGTTGACCATTATAAAAATAAGTGTCTCTCAGTTGTAAGAATAGTCAAGATAATTTGGGAACTGACCTAATTATTAAGAATATTTCTTGATGCACCTTGCTAAGTCTATATCCAGCTGCCAATCCACATATGCAATTATTGTTACAACCAATTTATAATAGTATTTGACCCAAAAGATAAAGTCAGGCACAGAATGTTTGTGGAGATGGCATAGGATCCAGTCAATATTCTTTAGTCACTCAGGACATCTGAAAATATTTTCCACAGAGTGTGATCCAAATAAAGAGGAGTTTGCTGGACACTTTGTCTAACCACTACTCATTTTTCAAAGCAATTTATCAGATTAGTGTTGCACAGTACAAATAACTTTCTTGTTCAATGAATGGCTGAAGATTCTTTTGACAGACATGGCGTAACTCTAAACATAAGCTTATACTCTAAGTGACTGTTGTATTTTGTGCTTAAATCAACTTGCCAGTGTTTTAGTGTTTATTTCACAAACTATAAAGTAGCCTAAAATTATATCTGCACTTGTCGATGTTTTGAAAATGATATGCAAGATAAATTTACATAGGCAATCCGAAGATTTAAAAATGTTAGCTGACAGGGCAGTAATTACTGTATGTGAATGGGACTGATTTAGCAAGCTTGTACTCATGCAAGTAATTTCAATTTGAGCAGTCCCATTGACTTAATATGGCTACTCCTACTAATAAAAACCGCCAAGACCAGCCCTGATGGATATAATATTGACAGGAGAAAAAAACCATACAAAATTATGGATTGCATGTGTCAGATAGATGTCATGACCAGTCCTGCTCACACTCAATATCAGTAATTTATATAAATATTTTGCATAGGGTATTATCAATGCACAGTTAGTTACTGAAAATCATCGCCACATGAATATTTCCTTCCAGTCTCTTTTGCAAAAGAAGTTGCAAGAAATCTTGAGGAATCAGTATTAGCTCCCGGTAGGTGACAAGATACTGCAAAAGATTGACCAGTAGTCTGATCTAGCAACTGGAAAATGTGGTGTTTTAAATTTTGTAAAAACCATAACATTCGTAATCAATCCTAATACAAAATGCAACAGGAATAAAATGCTTTTGTTAGGCATAGGCAATACTGAAAACCTGACATTTTAAGACATGAATAATGGTTCTTTTTGACTTGATCTTCAAGGCTACCTTCCAAATGTAGTTATATGTAGAAGTTTGAGGCAATATTAAATTAAATGAGTCCAGTTAATAGACAGACATTAAGTATTTAATGAAAATTTAAAAAAAAAGATATAAAGAAATCTTGTTTAAATGCAACCATCTGTTAAGTGAAACAATGAGTATAGTAGTTTAAAATATATTACTACATCTAAACACGGTATTTTTTCTTTTCTCAATAAAAATCAGAACTTCTTACCTATCTGATGGATACAGCAAACTGCTAAAAGGAAAGCCCATTCTGGTACCCATATACCCCTGCCAAACCCCATCTTGAGTGGAGTCTGGCACAAGGATGTCTGGTCTAAAGTTGGTCAGGAGGAGTAGTTCACCTGTGCTCTGTCAGTCTTATATAGTAAGTGACTTTGGCATCAGTCCCAGATTAATTCAGAGTCTAGAAAGGTGGAGTTTGGGGGATTTTACAAAATAAGCAGATAAATAGAGGATGCTCTTCCTTCCTCAGAAACTGGCCAATGGTATTTGCATTTTGGGAGAAGTATATACGCACACTTATGTATATTTTGTTAAGGTTCAGTTTAACAGAGAAACATAACACATTTGCAAGTAAAACACAACTCCTCCTCCACAAATAACAGGTCCTGGAACAAATGTAATTTGGTGTTTCTTTACAGTTATGCAGATGACATGCAAGTAACTATTCTAAGTTTTTCAATACTGTAACTGATGCCAGGCAGCTCCTTGGCAAAAAAATCCCGCTGATTTCTGAAGTCTAAGGAGGTGTGGAGTATTTCATATGTGGGGACCCAGCATTAGGAAGTCACGCCGTGCCTCTTGGGGCAGCTAATCTTCTTGTAAAAAGAACAGGCTAATAACCTTGAAGGGCCCTGTGCTATCGCACGGTCACAACTGAGTGTATGTTATGGAAACCCTTCTGTGTGGCACTGACAAGCGTTGGGCACCTATCTGAGGAGCATTAAGCCAGCTTCATCTAGACTGTATCGTACATTTATTAGGGATGGGCTTAAACCTTGAAATCTACTTCTGAATTCTCTGCATAGTCTGATTTTGTCTTCTCATAGAAAATATCAGGAGTAATTTCAGACAGTCAGACAGCCTTACACCAGCTTTGTAGGAGAAAAAAAATGTTAGATTCAACCTGCAACCATGATCACATTGCTTCAGTATCATTCCTGTGTAATTCCATTCACATCCATGGAGTTATGAGGACTACAAATTAGAGAAACAGCCAATGAATCAGGCCTATAAGGCTTGCCAGTAAATGTTTAATGTACTTCTATATCTGAACATTGGCTTTTTGCAGTTCTACTGGATTATCATTTCAAAAGTAGGAATGAATGTATACTTCAATAAACACAGACAGTATTGCTACTTCATGTCACTTTATCCTTCTTTTTTAGTTTGGCATCTGAGACAGGTAGGATGAGTTGCTCTGGGCAGATTTCGGTCTCTTTCCAAGGTCAATAGACCTTACTTTAATATGGTAAAAGATGGACATAAATGTTCAAAGTTAGTGAAACCATTCTTTTAAAACTGCTAGATTTGGAAAAAGTGATGCACAGTCCTGCACTTGGTATACACATAACATTACCTTCAGTTCATCGTCATCTTCAGCCTCCTGCCAGTTTACAAGAATGAAGGTAGCTGATAGATCCAAAAATCTTCATCATAAGAAATGGAATGAGAGCTGCTGCTCAGTGGGGGATTTAGCAAGAGGCACCTGGGAGATATAATTGGGGTGGGGGAGCCACAGGAGAAGGAGAAGAAAAAAAAAAAAAAAAAAAAGATGCATACTAGGATGTGTAGTGATGCAGAAAGGACTTCCTTTGTGTAAAATGGGACAGTATTGTCTTCTGCATGTCTAGTAAGATTCAGTTCAAAAGTGTCTACTGACATTTGTCATTTCTGCTGAAGTAGGGGAAAGCAACAAAGTTGGAAAGGTGTCCTAACTGTAAAATGTGATCACAGCTGGATGCCTAATTCCCTTGGGTTCTTATCAAAATCCTACCCTGCAATTATAAACTTAAAAATATTTCCACAAAAGAATAGGAGAGTATAATACAATATTCCATTCAGGTGTTACTGAATTGAATTGTGTAATTTTTTTCTCAATTTATTTCAGTTCAGCCCTTATTTCTACTTTTTTTTTAGCACTAAATATATTAGATCCTCACTCATTTAGTATTATAAAATAAACAAAAGAGAGTTCCTTTACGCAGTGTTATCTGGATTTGATTTTTGGACTGAAATCAGTAGTAGCTTAATATGGCAAGTTTGGGGTACTTAAATCAACATATTGGCCTCCTATAGCACAAAACATGTTCCCTGTCAAAATATCCAGGATGTTTAACGAAGTTACATCTTCATGGTCAGTAGTAAGCTGTTTACACACCCTAGATCTATATCTTCATGCTTCAGCAGACCAGGAGAACAGGAAAGACTGGATTTCCTGCCCATGGAAGGTTGTTTTATTCTGTGCCAGTACTAATAATGAATATAAATTCATCTGTACATAGAGAAGGCAAATTATATCTTGTTTATGAGACCACTTAACTGGATTAAATAAATATAGACTAGTCTCACTCAAGCAATTAAACAAGCCACCCAACAAACTAGGCTTTCAGCAGCTAATGTGCATATATCTTTAGCAATTGGCTACATCTGACGGTGAGAAGTAGCAGAGCTTGCTTCCCTTCTCAGTTACACCCACCTCTGCATGAGAGGAATAACAGAATACTAGGATTTTCTTATGTTACTTCAAAACATTTGGAGAGAGTTTCTTGTTTCCCATTGGGTATACGAGAGCAAGGAACTACTGATAAAGGGAGGACTTTTCTGAGGGGGTAGTTAGTGCTTTTGATACTCATCTGGTGAAGGTGAGGAGGGTGTCTGTACCTAGGATGGCTAGGTGTGTCAGTAGGGTTAAGGCTGTTTTTTCATTTGTCCTGTCTCTTTTACTGGAGTTGTTGCTAAGCAGAGTGCTAATAACAAACATTTCTTTCTTCTTCTAAGATAGTTTTTAGTTTTCATTCATTATAACTCTTTGTGACTAGAACAACGCATGTCAAACTTTAATATGCTACTTTGCTAGGCATTTACCAGTGCACAGTATTACATAGCTGTTGTGAAGGTTGTCCCAGGTGTGTTTGAAGGTGTTCTTCAAACGATGTTGCTCAGATATTTTTCTCAAAACAGTACATTTTCTGGAGTTGTTATGATTGCTACTGCTCATAGAGTAGTCCTGAAATATTTGATCTCCAGGGAGTAGTGACATTCAAATGATATTCCAGTGTTCAGCTTATCCAACCATATAGGCTCTTTCTCTTCCTCCTTCTCCACCACAAGGAGCGGGTGAAATTGGTAATAACAAAACAGGTACAGAAGAAACTCAGGTCACTGTGTTAGGTGGCTTATGAAATTTCGAAAGTTACCAGGTTATGAGATTTTACTGATTGCTGGGGGAATCGTGTCTGTAGATGAGAGTATCACAAAACTCAGAAGGGTTTAAGTAAATATATTCATTGGTCATGTGGGCGGTTTCTCCAAGTAGTTCTTGTAGATTAAAAAAAGTAGTTGGAGGACTTTTGAGTTTCCTAGATGGTACAGTGAAGAGTCTACCTATGTAGGCAGGGAGGAGCAAGCTCTCCTCTGCAGCTGTATGAGGGGAAACCCCAGAAGCAAGTTTTGAAGTATTTTAATAACAGAAACTGAAGCAGCTGTCTTTATTGTTAATGTACACCAGGAATCCACTAAGGGACCACAGTTCTGGTATTGCCTGGCACTAAACCAAAGCACTTCTGTTTGCAGGAGGGAATGTTCAGGGAGGTATTGAAAGCATTTTTGTTTCTTTCCTGCATTTTTGTCTGTTTTTCTCAGTTTTAATGCTGTGTGAAACCCAGAAGCTTATCTTGACATCTCAGAGTCAGATAACATGGAAATTAATTTAGGATAGATCTGTAGAGTTGATATAGAACAGCTCGTTTTATAGGAGGTTATTGGAAATTAATTACAGCAGCCAAGGATTTGGCTGACAAATATTCTTCTGACTCTTATTTTGATCTTGTATCAAAAATCTATACCAATGGATTGGTCACTAAAAGTACCTCTTGTAACAGTAAATCCAATATATTGTGTTACTTGACCCATAATTCTGACAATGGATATAATCTCTCCAATTTTACCTTTTCTTCTTGGTTTCTTGCATAGAAGTAGGGACAAAATTTGAGACATTGATTATACCTATTTAATGTAAAATTTCAAATGCCAGATAAAATATGGATACCATATACTATAAATACTATAATTACAAGCTGAAAGTAGATCATATATTATGAGGGTGCAAAGGCAAGCATTCAGAAGTTAGGAAGTAGTAGTATTAAGGCTAATAATGAAACCAGAATTCATAGAATCATAGAATCGTTTAGGTTGGAAAAGACCTTCAAGACCATCCAGTCCAACCATTGACCTGACACTACCAAGTCCAAAACTAAACCAATTAAAGGTAGAGTAATAATTTCATGTTTCCTGGCTTGGTGGCTGGATTATTTATAATGAAAGTAAAAACTAGGAATCATTAAGATTGGAAAGGACCTCTTAAGATCATCAGTCCAACCATCAACCCAACACCACCATGCCCACTAAATGATGTCCCAAAGTGCCACGTCTACCCGTTTTTTGAAAACTTCCAGGGATGGTGACTCCACCACCTCTCTGGGCAGCCTGTTCCAATGCTTGAATACTCTTTCCATGAAGAAGTTTTTCCTAACGTCCAGTCTAAACCTCCCCTGGTGCAACTTGAGGCCACTTCCTCTTGTCCTATCGCCAACTACTTGGGAGAAGAGACCAATACCCACCTCACTACAACCTCCTTTCAGGTAGTTGTAGAGAGTGATAAGGTCTCCCCTCAGGCTCCTCCTCTCCACACTAAACAACCCCAGTTCCCTCAGCCGCTCCTCATAAGATTTGTGCTCCAGACGCTTCACCAGCTTCGTTGCCCTTCTCTGGACACTCTCCAGCACCTCAATGTCTTTCTTGTACTGAGGGGCCCAAAACTGGACGTGGTATTCCAGGTGCGGCCTCACCAGTGCCGTGTACAGGGGGA